TTCTAGTAATACTGCATCTTATCATTAAGGCAGTGGTTCTCAACCTTATTAATGCTGCAACCCTTGAATGCAGTTCCTCATGTTGTGGCGACCCCAACCATAAAACTATTTTCGTTAGTACTTCATAACTGTAGAGGATATGCATTTGCCGATTGTCTTATGTGACACCTTTAAAGGAGTCATTCGACCCATAAAGGGGTCGCCACGCACAGGTTTAGAACTGCTGCATTATGGGAAAATCTTGAAGAATAAAATAATATCTTAGTTTAGTTATGAACATTTTATGTATGTTTTGAATTTTTTTAGGTGATGTGACAAGTGGTGGAGGAGAGGAGAATTTGTGACATTTCGTGACAAGGGGAGGGGGTGTCTAAAAAGTTTATTTTTAACGTGAGGTAATTTATGAATGACCCCTGCCTTAAGCAAATTATTTTTGTTTAAACTATTAATATAAGAATATGGATCATGCCTATAACTATCATTAAAAAATATATTATTTAGAATTTAACCTGAAAATCAGATTTAAAATCATACTTTCTGAGTTTCTGATGTGCTTCTTACAATGTTGGCCCAATATTAGTTTTTTTTCCCTCTAGCATTAGCTGTAACTGTATGGACTTAAGTTTAAGAGTAAAGTCAGTAAAGAGTAACAGACCGAGATAGCAAGACAGACACTCGAAGATAAAGAGTTCAGGGGGAATCAGACACAGAGTTAGAGCGAAAGAGAGAGAGATATACAAACTAACTGAGATAGATTGACAAGGAGAGACACAGACATATTATATATATAATATATATATATATATATATATATATATATATATATATATATATATATTATATATATATATATATATATATATATATATAAAACATATATATTTCCATATTTATATATCTTCTTTTAAATATTAAGGGCCCACGACCAATTAATTTATCATTTTGGCTCCTATGCATGTAGAGGGGATTTGCGATGTTTCTGTGCCTGGTGTTGATGAGGATATTTCACTGATTGCAAGTTCCACTTTGTGAGGGAATCATGCACTGGGGGTTGGAAGGCTTGAGGCAATAGACGCAAATGTGTCTAGTGTTGTCGCCTCAACTGCTCCTTTTGAAAGCCTGTTCCAGTCCCTGATTGCCTTGGGCAGGCATGAGCAGTTCCTATCCTGGCTTCTTGCTGGATAGTCGTCGTCGTTCCTCCAACGATGACCAGCCTAGTGTTTCCAGCATGCTGCCGTATACATATATAAACAAAACCCCACTGGGACATACAATTTAGCCTTAAGGCACTTGGCTGCAATGTACAATTTGACGGTCATACGATGTTTTATAATTTAAATGAAAGTTTCTTTGTGAAATTTTCCATTAATTATGTCAACATTTTTGAAGGCAATGTTTGACCCTCTCACTCCCCCTTGTCAACACCTGTCAAACGCTCAAGTAGCTCCTCCCATTATGAAATTCCCCCTCCCTGGATCAAACTCTCTGAAAGAAACAATAATCGCGTGTACGCCAAACAGCCCTTGATGTTGAATTGATCGAATCCCTCCCAACTTTCGCTCGGTAGCCATCGGCGCCCCCGCTTTCTGCCCGTCTACACTGCTCAAAATGACTATCTCGGCACTAGAGACCGACCGAAAGTGATTTTCTGATTTCGGCCGAAGCCAAAAATAGGCCGAAAGTTTAAAATGACTTTCGGCCGAAACCGAAAAAGGCTGAAAGTTTAAAAATGACTTTCGGCCGAAACCGAAAAAAGACCGAAAGTTAAAAATGAATTTCGGCCGAAACCGAAGCCGAAACCGAAAATGAAATATTAAGATATTTTCAAATTCGTTCCCGCATACATTCTGCTTACATCGAAAATGATGTGGGGAAAATATAAATATTTACATTCTTTTTATAAAAATGAGATAATCGTAAATATTAATAAATAAAAATCTAATTAGGGTTCTCAAACTCGCGGCCAGCGAGCCATTTGTGACCCGCAAGACGATATTTTGCGGCCCGCTACATGACAGAAAAGTTTAGTGTAAATGCGCCGGCCCGTTTCCCCCATTCTCATATTCATATATATATAACGTGACTCTCCGCGACGGTTTCAGTCGAATCTCACCGACTAATCTAATTCTGATTTTTTTTTTAATGTCTCTATATATTTTTGTATGTCAGGTCTCTGGCAACAGTGAGTAGGTGGATGAAAGTGAATCCTAGTTCTTGAGAACCCTTAATGATTTTTCTTTGTTATTTATAAAGGTTGACCAGATTGTAACAGTTGTAATCGCTTTTTTGTGGATTACTTGATGCGGCCCACTCTCATTCAGACACTACCTCCTGCGCCCCCCCCCCCCCCCCCCCTTTTTTTTTTTTTTTGGTAGGAGAAAATTTGGCAGAAATTGGGGGGTGGGGGGAGGAGGGGAAATTAATGCAAAATATTATTTTTTTGAAACCGGGTCTCTAAAAAATGTGGTTCTAAAAGATCACTTAATTTGTTCTTAACGATCGCTTAGTTGGTTGTTAAAGAAAGCTTAATTTGTTCTTAAAGAAAGCTTAGTTTGTTGTTAAAGATCATTTAGTCTGTTGTTAAAGATCGTTTAGTTTGTTGTTAAAGATGGGTGAGTTTGTTCATAAAGATCGCTTAGATTGTTCTAAAATATCGCTTAGTTTAATCTTAAAGATCGCTTAATTTGTTCTTAAAGAAAGCTTAGTTTGTTGTTAAAGATAATTTAGTCTGTTGTTAAAGATCGTTTAGTTTGTTGTTAAAGATGGGTGAGTTTGTTCATAAAGATCGCTTAGATTGTTCTAAAATATCGCTTAGTTTAATCTTAAAGATCGCTTAATTTGTTCTTAAAGAAAGCTTAGTTTGTTATTAAAGATAATTTAGTCTGTCGTTAAAGATCGTTTAGTTTGTTGTTAAAGATCGGTGAGTTTGTTCATAAAGATCGCTTAGATTGTTCTAAAATATCGCTTAGTTTAATCTTAAAGATCGCTTAATTTGTTCTTAAAGAAATCTTAGTTTGTTGTTAAAGATCGTTTAGTTTGTTGTTAAAGATCGTTTAGTTTGTTGTAAAAGATCGTTTAGCTTGTTGTTAAAGATCGGATAGCTTATTGTTAAAGATCGTTTAGTTTGTTGTTAAAGATCGTTTAGTTTGTCGTTAAAGATCGTTTAGTTTATTCATAAAAATCGCCTGGTTTGTTGTTGAAGATTCTTTAGTTTGTTCTTAAAGATCGCATTAGTTTGTTGTTAAAGATCGTCTAGTTTTTGTTAATGATCGCTTTATTTGTTCTTAAAGATCGTTTAGTTTGTTCATAAAGATCGCTTAGTTTGTTGTAAATTCGCTTAGTTTTTTCATAAAGATCGCTTTGTTTGTTCTTAAAGATCTTTCAGTTTGTTTTTAAAGAACATTTAGTTTTCTGTTAAAGATCGCTTAGTTTATACTTATAAATCATTAAAGATCATTTGTTTTGTTCTTAAAGATCATTTAGTTCGGTCTTAAAAATCGTTTAGTTTGTTCTTTAAGATCATATAGTTTGTTATTAAAGATCGCTTAGATAGTTCTTAAAGATCGTTTAGTTTGTTCATAAATGTAGTTTAGTTTGTTGTTAAAATGCATTTAGTTTGTTCTCAAAGATCGCTTAATTTGTTCTTAAATGTCGCTTAGTTTGTTGTAAAATATCGCTGTCGCTTCGTATTAAATGACCGAAAACCTGAGTAACTTTCGGCTGTATGGCCGAAAGCCTAAGTCAATTTCGGCCGAAACCGAAGAAAAACCGAAAGTTAACTTTTCACTTTCGGCCGAAACCGAAATTAAGCCGAAAGTTAACTTTCCAGTTTCGGCCAAAACCGAAACTTGGCCGAAAGTGATAAAATGGCCACTTTCGGCGCCGAAACCGAAGCCGAAATTCGGTCGGCCTCTACTCGGCACCTTTAAAAAACAAACAAGAAGACGAAATGTTAGTTACTATTAAGATGATTTTCTTAATTGAAATATATAATAATTCCCTTTATATATATATATATATATATATATATATATATATATATATATATATATATAGTTATGTATAGATTAGAAGGTAAAACTCGAATGAGACTTAAAGGATACACACTCAACTAAAATTAATTTAGTTTATACTTTGGCGATGCGTGTGGAGTTATAGGTGATCCCGCTCTCTCAGGGGGCGTACCTAGTTTAAGTGCCACCCTTGGAGGGTCAAGGTTTGTGCAGCCCCCCCCCCTTTTTCTGCGATAAAAACTCCGACGTAGTCTGAGAATGCCACCCTCCATAAAATAAATAAAGCGTCACCCACCCCCCCCGCCACGCGGTGGGCGGCCCGCCTAGCCTTCCTTGGCACTGCCAACCTGAACATCTGAAATAAGCGGTTTAATCATATTTTAACCGCAGAAGGTGACGCCTCTGCTAGTTAATATTATCATGGAAACCACTGGAATCATCTTTTTTCCAGGTTAACCATTCGGCTCTTAAGATATCAGCCTTTTCTCTTCGTTCAATAACTGCCACCACCTCCCACTTTCTGCTAGAAATAACTACAGTCTGACTTGACCGCCTCAACCCCCCTCCACAATTATTATTGGATCAGGTGGTAATATCTAAGCATCATCGGTGTTAATCTGAAAATATTAAGTTATACACATTTTTATAGCCCTTAAAAGGAACACATATTTTGCGGAACTAATGATGTAAACAACCCCCCCCCCCACCCCCCCGGTCGTCAACAATTAATGTCACCCTCCCCTCTTTTGTTGACGTATTTTAATGAACGGCCCTTAGCAAAAAGTACTTTTTCTCAATGGCAGAATTTTGTGCAATATATGCGTATAGCTTGCCCTTAAAGTTAAAAAAAAACAACAAAAAACAACAAAACAAAACAATAACAACATTTAACCTAACGAGTCCATAAATTAATGTTTAAAAACATTACACGGGAAAGGCCAAGTAAGATATCTAAGGGAGCTCTTCTGTATTTCCTTATTTGTGTACGGAGAAACGAAAACATCGCAAATGAATGGTGTCACCGATGTTGACGTTGGCTATTTAAAAAAAAAATCATGACCATTTAATCATAATCATATTCCATATATACTTTTGGCATAGAAATTACTAATACTCCCCTCCCCTTATTTTTTAAATGATCGCTGTGTAGGCCCAATTCATGTAAATGTATTAAAGTCGGTTTCATCTCAGCTAAGCCGAATCAAGATCCAAATCGACTTAAGACTTAAGACTCTATCATACTCTATGATAAACATAAGTCATAAGTATAAGCCATAGACCTAGGCCGTAAGTGGCGTAAGCCACGGTAAGCCCAAGGCCCGTCAAATTAGAGGTAATATCCGGACAGTCCTTTTGCTTCAAAATATATTTATATAGTATTATTATTATAATAATAATATTAATATGGTATCAGTATAGTATAGTCTGAGTATGTTAGAGGCATAGACTATGGCAAAATATTAACTAGATTCTAATTCTAACTATCATCAACCCACTAAACCTAAAGTCCAGGCTTGGTACTTGGTACCATACTACAATTTAATTGATGGTAAGTTTGTAGTTGTATATTGTTTTGTGTGAATAATAATTAAAATAGTAACTATTAACTAATAATATCAGTAGTCAGTAACTTCTGAGTAACTATTATAAGGTCAATCATTAATCATGACCATATCCATAGTCATCATAAGCATTTAGACTAATTTATATTATCATAAATAAGATCAGGAGAGTAGTGTTTGTGGGTTTTTTTTTCACTTGGTCTTGGTGGAGCCAAAAGAACCCATAATTCCATAAACTTTCTCTTTTATAATTTATAATGCCCCTAATCTAATCATGCCATGTACACAAAAAAACTTTCCCTTCACATGATATGATTCATGATGATATGGACAGCGGCCAAAGGATTTTTACTACATTAAATCTGAATGATGATACGATTAATTGTGGTTTTAAAATAAGCTCAAAATAAAGTTAGCACTGGTTCTACCATTTCTTCTTGAGCCTATGCCTATTACTATTATACTTTATGATCCATCTCCCAGATGGCCACAAATGCAGATGTTGATGACCAAAAAATAAATGTTGTTTACTACCTCAGGGATCTCAATAAAGAAATTGTTTCAGCTTGGGAGAATGCGTTTTCAAAATATAAAGATTCAGTTAAGGTAATACCATAGGACCATTTAATCATAATTAAGTTTCATCTTTTTGGTGCCATCTCATTCTACTGTGTTCAGACAGATAGTGTGTCCTTATTTCATTAAAGTAAGTCATAAAGGGAGAAAATTGACATTGAGATGATTAGTGTAAAGAAAAGCAGAAGGGAAAATACAGGTAACCATAACAGAAGTAGGCCTATGGCTATCTATAAAACAATCAAGCACTTAGGGTTGAATTTTTTTTTTACAATGGCTAAAATAATAGGCACAAAAATGGAAATAGTTGTACAAAGTCTTTAATATCATTATCAGCAAATTTTATTATAGCTTTTCTTCAATTTCCCAATTTCTACATGTAACCTGATTTTTTAAATTTTCAGCTGAGGCTTAATTTTCTTAAATTATTTATTGCCTGTTTGTCTCTTTTAGCTTATATTTATTTCAGTAACTATTAATTTCTAATTACTGTTATTCATTTACCCAAGGTTTCACGAGGGGACATCTTTGAAGGTGCACCTGGAGTTGATGCCATTGTGAGTTTTTGCTTTGAATTCTATCCTATTTAATTGGATAATTGTAATTATTACTTTGTAAACGCAAGTTAAAGTTGGCTCATAAGTTGAAAATGAAGTCTCAAAATAAAATTTAAAAAGATGTAAAAACTGCTTCCTCTAAAAGAATAATAATTATTAAAAATGCATTACATTTTATTTTTCATTAATTTGTGTTATTTTAGATTCCAGGTGTAGAAGTGTTAATGACTTTTCTCCTGAAGAAATTATGTTAACTTCTGCCACGAAAACATAAATATTTATTTGCCTTATTCTTTAATTGTCATCAGGCATAGTTGAAAATAAGTTTTAATGGAACACATGCAGAGAAGGTAGAAAAATTAATTCTGTGCTAGAATATTTTCTTCCTTTCAAGGTTTCTCCAGCCAACAGTTTTGGTTTCATGGATGGCGGAATAGACATGGCTTACAGCCAACACTTTGGATGGCAGATGTAAGTAAACATTAGATGTATGCTCATGAGAGCTGCCAATGATGCTGTAAGAGTAGGGTCAGCTAGATCAGATAGTTGACATTTTAATAAAACTGAATAATTACAAAACTTTGTCCAAAGTCTTTAAAAATTATAATTATAATAAATATTATTACTCTTTTTAAATATTAAACAATTTAATGGACTAAAAATAATGACAGCCAGACTGTCATAAGTGCCAAATCCAAAGTTGTCATGTCAAGTTACTATTGTCACTAAAGGAGTTAGTTAATATGTGGCTGATTTCTACAGTAGAGAAATACTTTAGATGTTTTTGGTTCACATTTTTATAATTGGAAAATGTGTCTTGATTTACATATGTATTTATTTAGGTGCTGAAAATGACTGTTTAATTTAATCAAAATAAATTTCCTTTTATTTGGACCAATAAAGAATCTTATCTTATCTTATCTAATGTAGATTTATCTAGTGAGCAGTAACAGTTATTTCCCACTAAAAGACTGTTGTTTTTTAAAACTTTAATAATAATAATAAAAGAGATTATTTAAAAATCACGCTTCATCCCCCAAAGGCTCTAAGCACGGTACATACCACATTGAAGTACAAAATTTAACATTACAAATCTACATACAAGTATACCCATTCTAAGTCTTTCATACCTTGCAACCATAAACAACACAGGCCAATATACATCTAAAAGATAATAGCTAGATGGACAACATCACCTCAGCAGGTGTTTGCCAAAAAAGATAAGTCTTCAAATCAGTTTTGAACGACTCCAGTGTCTGGCTATCACCATCGTGTCTGGTACTGTATACTGAATATTTTATTTGATTACTATACGAGGTTAAAAAATGACAAAACTCAGTGTTTGTAATTTTGGCGCTTAGGACAATCTTTGTAAGAGGATGAGGCAGACAGTTTCAACAAAAAAAAACCCAACCAATTTTGCTAATTAAGTATTTTTTAAAACTCTTTCCAGGCAAGAACGTTTGCAGACGCTTCTCCAAGAAAAGTTCCACGGGGAGCTACCGGTGGTGAGATATATCTATGTATATTTAAATAGTTAATCAGCCAAAATCCACAATGATCACATTAATCATCGTTATAATTTGCTTTTTGTGAACTTGGCTGTGGGTGGGCAGGTGGCAGATATAAATTAAACATACGAACTCCAAACAAACAAAAACTAATGCTGTCATGTAAAAACAGACCTGTTTACTCTTATGATTTTGGCGTACAATTTACGATTTTGAAGTGTATAAATTATAAATACTGGACGTTTTTATTATTTATAAAGATGATGTATTGAACGATTATGTGATGATATTGTATGATTTTAAGAATTTGAGGGTAAACAGGTCTGTAAAAATCATTAGCTGTGGGTTGACTGTGCTCTTGATAATAAATAGATTAAATGAATCAGAAAGTTATTTTAAACCTATCTTGTTTGAGTTGTGTTAAGTGCCTTGCTTATCTTGGTTTTATTTTGGTTATGCAGTGTTATAAAAAAAAATCAAAATATTAAAATTGTTCAGTCTTGACAAAATATAATGAATAAATATTTTAAGTCTGGCTGTAATAAAATTAAAAGACTCCCCCCCCCCCCCCCCCCCCCCCCAGTTGATCAGTCCGAAAAAATTCTGCTTTCTTAGTATTGCACCTTACCAATGGTTGTAACTAATTTGTCGCCTGTAACCATTATGTAAAGCGTAATGAAAACTAGATTGTCTTTCATTTGACTAGTGATTGCTTTTTTTTGCTATCAGTACTTTATTTTTGATTACTTTGATACTTAAAAGCAAGATTATTCCTTTTTTTGGCTTTTTATAAAGAAGAGAAGGCGTGCATCTCTCGCAAATTTTTTGTAATTTTAAAAAAAAAAAGCCCTCCTTTGATTTACGGTACGTCACCATAGAGTGGTGGTATTCACCATTGAGTGGTGGTATGTCACCATCAAGTGGTGGCATATCACCATCAAGTGGTGGTATTTCACCATTGAGTGCTGGTATGTGGCCTTGTGTTATGTCACCAATGGCATTTTGAATCTCACGACGTGTGCAAGATCGGTGAACTAGGAGGCAAGGTGGCAGTGCAATGGATCCTAGGTCACGTCAACGTCAGTGGCAATGAGAAAGCGGACTCACTAGCAATAACTGCCCAGCCTCAACCAGAAGTACCAATAACTTATATGGGAATAAAGAACTGCTGGCAGACCATTTCAGGTCAAAGTGGTACAGGCAATGGGCAGACAATACGACAGCCAGAGGCGTCTTTTCAAATTTGCCCACTCCTAGCACACAGGACCCATGGTGGGGGTTTGGCCGTAGACAACAGAGTTTAGTGACGCAGATGTGCATTGAGCACTCCCCACAGGCACATATCTCTGGCGGCTAGATAACAACAGGGACCCTACCTGCCGGCATTGCAGCCTGGGCCCGGAGACTCTAGCGCACCTGTTAACCAAATGTCCCTCACTAGATGTCCCGGGGGAAGCCAGGGCAGTTGGAGAGCCCTACGTGAGGAAAATGTTGTATGGCTCAGCTCAGCAGATGGAGCTGGTAGCCAATGCACTAGCCGGGGTCATAAGAGGGTGATCTCAGACCTCCACCAGAATAAGTGTGTTAGTTAGTGGTGTCACTTGGAAGTTAAACTTTTTTGTTAATGTAATGAATGCAATTGATTAATCGCCTGCCGTTTCACTAACATTTTTATGTCAAACAAAATTTTAATTTTTTTTGTTAATTTTACCTTTTTAATTAATAAAATGTGTTCTCACACGTCCCTTTTTTTTTACTATTTTAATTTTTCTGTAGAGCTATAATCAAAAAAAAATTTGCTGTTTAACCCTAGTTAAAAATAAATCCAATGTTTAAATTTAAAAAACAAAATTGTCCACCTATGTCCACTCGAGATAACCACACTATTCGACAGGGACAAGCTGTGATTATTCCGGCATATGGCAGCGCAGGCAGAGACCCCAGTGTGGACTGGTGCAGGTTCAACCACGGTGAGACCATAGAGTACCTGATATCTGCACCGACCATGAGAGTACCAGAGGTTGTCAAGGAAACTGCCAACGCATACCTTGCGTTTAGAGCAGTGATCCTGGCAGGTACGTACACACTCTGAAGTCACATGGCTGTTCTAATCAGTGCGTGCATACACTAAGTCACACCGCTATTTTAAATACCCGGTAGTATGCACACACTCTAACTTGAATCACTGTTCTAAATAGTACATACATACTCAAGTCACACACTTATTCTAAATAGTACGTACGTATTCTTAAGTCCCACAGCCATACTGAATAGTATGTGCATACTGCATGTCACACAGCTATCCTATAGAATACATACATACTCTTAGTCACACAGTTATTCAAGGCTTAGTATGCACACATACTAAGCCATGCAGGTATCCTAGTTGGTACGTACGTGTTCCATGTCAGACAGTTATTCTTGACAGCGTGTCACCTACACACGCTAAGCTTGTTTAAATTCTACTTTGGATGCCTACTCACTGGGTAACACACGCCATACAATGTGAGTTAAATACATCCTTTCTCTTTTAATTAAGGAGCCATTTTGGAGGATTGGGGGTGGGGGTGTTAAAAAATTGCCCTGACGTCCTTTATGGATGGCGGCTAAAGTAAAAAGTAGGCAGTTATTTCCTTCACGTGGCTGCACTGTTCTTCAATTCATTCAATTAAAAATCACAGGGAGGTAATAAAAAAAGTATTTTTGCAGGGGTTGAGTTAATATAAAACAGTACTAGATTTAATTTCCACACTCATCAGCGTAATTATCTTATGTATCGCCAAGGGCATGATTTAAAATATAAAGTTTTTGTCATGTTTGAAACATTCCTATAGAAAGGAGTTATCTTTCCGAACTCTATAAACCTCCTACTGAAATGCCTCTGCTCATTAAACAAGCACTGATAAAAAACATTGTCGAAATCAATGAGCAGATGAGTCCAAGCAGATCATTGCTATGAGGGATTAGCTTGAGTCACACCTTTGTGCTTATTACAACACACCTTTGTGCTTGATACAACACACCTTTGTACTTAATACAGCACACCTTTGTACTTAAAACAACACACCACTGTACCTGACACAACACACCTCTGCACCCCTTACAACACAATGCACAGAACTCCCAATATGTAATAAATTTTTTTTTGAAAATAGATTTTTGGTGAGACCTGCTTATCATTGGTAGCTCGGTGTATCTTATCATTGGCAGCTCGGTGTATCTTATCATTGGTAGCTCGGTGTATCTTATCATTGGTAGCTCGGTGTATCTTATCATTGGCAGCTCGGTGTATCTTATCATTGGTAGCTCGGTGTATCTTATCATTGGTAGCTCGGTGTATCTTATCATTGGTAGCTCGGTGTATCTTATCATTGGTAGCTCGGTGTATCTTATCATTGGTAGCTCGGTGTATCTTATCATTGGCAGCTCGGTGTATCTTATCATTGGTAGCTCGGTGTATCTTATCATTGGTAGCTCGGTGTATAATTTCATTTTTATTTTTTAAAAACATTCTAAAACCAAGGTTTTTCATATAAATCCTTTGCATACATTTTAAAATATTAATTTTCTTATGACCCACCCGCTTTTACACCACAGATTTATTTTACCAACCATTTTCAGAAAAACAAAAAGAATTATTACACACCTAACGCACTTCCTATATTTAAAAAAAAAACCACCAAAAACAAAAAAAAGAAGAATCTTATTTAGCACAGTTATGAGGAATTTATTTTGTGAAATCTGTGGCATCATGTTTCCTTCATCTTCCCCCTTGAAAACAGGAAAATATGATTTTGGGGTGGGGGGGGGGAGTTAGGTTGGAAAATTTAATAGAATGTGTTGTCATTGGCAATGAGATTATATGCCAATTTTCAGCTCGATAGGAGGATGGGAAGTTGGTCAATCAGCTGTCCAAAGATTTTGCCCTTAACACACAAACAAAAGCGAAGTTAATATAAATGATATTATAAAAGCTCATTGAATTATTATTAATCAACTGTAGCGCAACTAAGCACAATTCTACTGTTCAAAACTTACATTTAGTTATAATATGTAAACCAAATTACTAACAGAAATAAAAGAAAGACTATCAGCCGGAAACAGTGCAAACTTCAGTAGTCAGAAAATACTCAAAAGTAAAAACATTACAAGAGAAACAAAGAAAACTATTTATAAAACTGTGATCAGACCAGTTGTAACATCTGCAAGTGAAACTTGGACCCCTAACAAAAACAGCAGAAAACCTATTAAACACATGGGAGAGGAAAGTTCTCAGGAAAATATATGGGCCAACAAAGGATGAATATGGATGGAGAATACGAACCAACCAGGAATTATACAGTCTATATCAGGATCCCATGAAAGTGGCAGAAATAAAAAGAAGCAGGCTACGCTGGGCAGGACACCTAGAGAGAATGTCAAATGACAGAGGAACGAAGAGGGTACATCACCAATACCCCAGAGGAAAAAGGCTCAAAGGCAGACCTAGGCTTAGGTGGATAAATGATGTAGAAAAAGATCCACAGCAGCTGAAAGTCCAATCATGGAAAAGAAAGGCATTAGTTAGGTCTGAGTGGAAGGAAGTGGTGAGGTAGGGCAAAGCGCCACAGGGATGGATGTAAACCAAATACGCTTTACATGATGACCACATAATATTTCCTCATCAGTTGAAGAGCACAACAGCAACAAACAAGACATCAACCCTTTTAAGCCTATCAAACGTGTCCTTGTCCCAGGCCTGGCAACAATGGTTGGGAGAATGCCGGCAAAGAGATGTGCCTATCAGGTGAGCTCAGTCACTTATAAATTAATTGAATTGCTGGAATAAGTAACAGATGTGAGTTGTACCATTCAATTTTGTGTACCTAAAATCTGCCGTCTTCCTAGACACCCAAATGAACTTCACAGAGAGGTAATCTTTGTTTCTGTATCTGTTCTTATCTTAATGAAAAATTAATTACATTTAAGTCAATTTAAAAATTTTCAAGAAAGGTGTGTTTATGTACAGTATTTACTATTATTATAATTTGTTCTTCGCATGTGAAGATGACAGAGGCAATTTTCGACTTGAGTAGTAGCATCGACCTGAGTAGTAGCCTCGACCTGAGTAGTAGCCTCGGCCTGAGATGAATGTTGTTTAAAGTGAGGGAGAGTTGCTTAATTCCTCTGCCCTACTCTCTTCCTCACCGATTTCATCCAAGACTCGGTCAATGGACTGGACATAGTCCAGCGTACAGTAGACGACCAGCCTTGTTTCATTTTTTATCTCACTGTCCTCTTTATGAATTCTACCTAACAGGAGTTTTCAGCAGGAGTTGTGTCGGAACTTTCGCTGTGCCACAAGTAACTCCAAGTTTTTTTGTTTTTTTTTCTTTTATGTATCATCAGATGCTTCAAGCCTATGAGACTTTTGTTGAAGGAAAGCATAATTTCAGAAGAAAGCCAAAAAAGCTAGGAGACATGTTCAACGACCATGAGACAATGAGTGTCAAGTGAAATAAAGAAAGAAAGAATTCAAGCCTTATTTCAGTGGCTCAAATTTTGTTGTTCAATGTGCTAAAAATAGAATCGTGCCATATATTGTTGTGAGTTGAGACCTTCTAACGTTAGATTATTTTTAACAGAAAAGGATTGAAGGTTTCAATGTTATGTTACCTTAGGATTTGATTGGTGATATGTCACCACTGAGTTGGTGGTATCTCACCTTTGATTGGTGGTATGTCACCTTTGATTGATGGTATGACACCTTTGATTGGTGGTATGTGGCATTTGATTGGATGTATGACACCTTTGATTCATGGTATGTTACCATTGATTGTGGTATGTCACCTTTGATTGCTGGTATGTGCCATTAGATTGGTGGTATGTCACCTTGGCCTGGTGGTATGTCACCTTTGACTGGTGGTATGTCACCTTTGAATGCGGTATGTCACCTTTGACTGATGGTAAGACACCATTTATTGGTGGTGTGTCACCTTTGATTGGTGGTTTTTTTCCCTTTTGATTGGTGTCAGACACCCTTGATTGTGGTATGTCACCCTTGATTGTGGTATGTCACCCTTGATTGTAGTTTATCCCCTTGTAGTTGAACTGTTATCTCACCATTTGGTGGGGGAGGTCACCTGGAAGTTAAACTGTTCTGTCAGTGAATGCAGTTCATTAAGCGCCTGCTGCCACATCACCAACATTCTTAGCATTCTTGCACCCGCCTACAGGGGATGTTAGGTCACCGATAAGTTATCCGATTTTATGATCACAGTGTACGCCAGTCAACAGTTGCATGAAGACAATACTCTCTAACTCAGTACTTTTAGTTTCCCTGGAAACATGACGCCTTAAAGACAAAAATCTAAGATTTTGAGGTAGGTGTAATTTTGTTTCAAATTTTCAGGTCAATTTATCAAAACAAAACAAAAAATATGGCATTGAGTTAAATGCTGTATTCGTCTTTATTTCAATTTCGTCTGGTTTTGCGCTCTGGCGTCACAATGTCGCGGTTTTCGCTATACGGAATAATTTTAGGACAAAAAGTGGCCATAGTAGCCAGGGCAAAGCACGAAGTAAATCATAAAGCCTTCGTAGAGCATGCCGCCTTTTTCTTGGAACAGGAGCAACGACACTAGCTGCTGTAAACTTCAGGTTTGTCTTCCAAGTTTTGTAAATTACTCATTTTCATGGGAGTAGCTAGAATTTGTGACACCCGGGGCGGTCCCTGATTAATATCCCACCTCTTATCCATGACTTTAAATTATTGCCCCTTGGTGGAATTGTTTCTACCGTGTCTTTAAATTATTGCCCCCCATCCAAATAAAAATAAATACTGCTTAATAGATAACGTAAACAAATCTACTAGAGTCCACTAGACCAGCATTCCTCAAATAGTGGTCCGCAGAAAGGAGCCTTACGTTGCCGGTGCGCACAACATGAATATTTATGGCCAACTGAAAGAAAATGTAATGAATAAATCTGACACAGGTGCACTACTAGAGTAAACTCTGATTTTTATTGACATTCACATTTTGAAACTATTAAAATGAACTGTTTAGTTCCGTGAAGTATAATCAATTTCTTGAGCCGGATTTAAAAAATTTTTGAAACTGTCATAGTGTGGCAAGCTAATTAATTTAAAAAAAAAAATCATTTAACATCCGTAGAGTTAGGGCAGGCCTTGTGGTTGCAGAGCAGTTGCGTGAACCCTGCAATTTGTGATTTTCAAATAAGGTTTATTATTAGTATATTATTAACCTCCATTACCAACACGACGGCTCTTTGTGGAGAGAAAAAAACAACTACTTACACACTGAAAAGTCTAATTGTGATATGAAAAAATATTTTAACTTTTTCTTTTACTGCAGATCGCGTGCACGGCTTTGTGGTCGGTCACAGAGGCATAAGTCCTAACTCATACTGAAGTGCGTGTACGTATCAACTGTAAACAGCAACTGTACACAACATCCCAACTGATCATTGTGTGTACCTCAAAGTACAGGAAAAAAATTGACCATTGAACTGTGTGCCTTTGATCAGTCATGTGTGGCTTGGTATCCAGGAGGGTCATCCTCATCCTGCTGGTGACCATCCAAGTAAGTAGGACTGAATGCAATACGTACGACATGGAAATCTAACGTTTGTGTTTAGTGGCTTAGGTGGCACTGCCACTCGCAGGCAGCGCTCGGATTGTTTCACTTGACAGTTGCGGTACTTCAAATCTAATCATTTGAATTTGAACAAAAAACATCCTTTTTAAAGTTTTGCATTATTCCTACAATTTATTTTAATCTCTATCTCATACCTCACCCCAGCCCCCCTCCCCACACTCTTTCCTTTAATTTTCTCTTTCTTTCTCTCTCTGTGTTCCCCTTTGTCTGTTCTTTCTCTCTTTCTTTCTCTCTTTCTTTCTCTCTTTCTTTCTCTCTTTCTTTCTTTCTTTCTTTCTTTCTTTCTTTCTTTCTTTCTTTCTTTTTATTTTTCTTTCTTTTTATTTTTCTTTCTCTCCTTTTTTCAACTTATCGTTCTTTTTTTTCTATTTATCTTTCTTCTTTTATTTCTTTTTCTATCTTTCTTTCTTTCTTTTAAGGTTCTTTACTTCTTTTTTTATTTATTTCCCTATCCTTTCTCCATTTTCCCCCTGTGTTTCTTCCTCTATTTTTCTTTCTTTCTATCTTGTTTCTATCTTTCTTCTCTCTCTTTCTATCTTTTTTCCTTTTTTGATCTCTTTTTCTACCTTTCTCTTTTGTATGTTTGTTCTATATCTCTGTCATTCTTTATTGTTTTCATTCTTTATCTCTTTCTCACTTGTTTATTTTTTCTCTTTGTTCTTTCTTCCTGTCTCTTTATTTCTATCTTTCTCTTCTCTTTCTTAAATTTTTTTTTTACATTAACCGTGTCCTCAAAGTATCTATCTATATACTGTAATAATAAAATTGTTTTTTAAAAAATAATTTCATTAATCCTAGCTTGAGTCCACCAGAAGCACAGACCTGGATGCAGCCGGCTGCTCTGTCATCCCCATACAGCGGATCTCTGTGAACATACTCAAGATGATATTCTCCCACAGTCCAACGCGGCTTCCCAAAGGGCGTGTCATCAACACCAGGCACAGGACGCCGTTGGTTCCCTTGGTGTTGGCGACCCTTGAACCATTCGTCTATGACGACCATGAACTGTATGAAACCTGAGGAACTCATGGGCCGTTAGAACGGTCTAACCAAAGATAAGTTGAGTGAAGAATAAAAATGTTAAGAAGAAAATTAAGAAACTATCCGAGTTTAATTCTTACGAGTGTGCTTCCTGACCGATACAAAGATTAGCAAGAAAGGTAGCTCCCCCTTTTCTGTAGAAGTGAGGGAAATTTTGGAGACTAAGTCGGGAATATCCAAATTGAATTTAATATAAGTACGACAATAGACCATTGTTTGTTTAAAGTATCTGAAAGTATATCCACATCCTTTACTAAATATGAAGGTTTATACATATAATGTATTACATGTCATTTAATAAAAAAAAATGGTATTGTTGCTCAAGGGCCAGACACATAAAATGGTTATAGGAAAGCTGTTTGAAAGAAATGTCGTTGAATGAAAAATGATCGACGGAAGTTTGATCGAATGGAAGTTGGGTCAAATATTTTGTTCAGTCCACACGATAAAATATTGCGTCAAATTTCTTTTTTGAACGCATTATTTTGTTTTAATCCATAGTATGGTGAGCAAAGAAATTTTAGTCACGAAACCAGTTGATTGGGACACATTTCTTGTTTTTGTTTGATACCTAAATGCTGCTTTGTCCATTTTAAATGCAATGGATGATATCAGTGGAGATAAGTGCAATGGATGATATCAGTGGAGATAAGTGCAATGGATGATATTAGTGGAGAAAAGTGCAATGGATGATACCAGTGGAGATAAGTGCAATGGATAATATCAGTGGAGACAAGTGCAGTGGATGACATCAGTGGAGATAAATGCAATGGGTGACATCAGTGGAGATAAATGCAGTGGATAGTATCAGTGGAGATAAGTGCAATGGATGACATCAGTGGAGATAAATGCAAAGGATGACATCAGTGGAGATAAATGCAATGGATGACATCAGTGGAGATAAATGCCATGGGTGACATCAGTGGAGATAAATGCAATAGATGACATTAGTGGAGATAAATGCCATGGATGATATCAGTGGAGATAAATGCAATGGATTATATCAGTGGAAATAAATGTAATGGCTTCATTATAGATTCACTAATTGCCGTGACATTCATAGTTGACACCTTAATCATCGGCTTAGGAATGTTAGGGGTGCAGATAGGGCAGTTCGCCCTGGGCGGCACATTTTTTTTCTTACATGGAAGGGCGGAATTTTCGGCCAAATTTTTCTTGGGGAAGAGGGGCGGCTAAAAAGTTTGGCCCACCCCCTAATGCCAGCTACGCCGCTGATCGGAATGTCACCCGGCTGTAGTGGCTGTCACCCGGCTGTAGTGGCTGTCACCCGGCTGTAGTGGCTGTCACCCGGCTGTAGTGGCTGTCACCCGGCTGTAGTGGCTGTCACCCGGCTGTAGTGGCTGTCACCGGGCTGTAGTGGTCTGTAGTGGCTGTCACACGGCTGTAGTGGCTGTCACCCGGCTGTAGTGGCTGTCACCCGGCTGTAGTGGCTGTCACCCGGCTGTAGTGGCTGTCACCCGGCTGTAGTGGCTGTCACCCGGCTGTAGTGGCTGTCACCCGGCTGTAGTGGCTGTCATCACGCTGTAGTGGCTGTCATCACGCTGTAGTGGCTGTCATCACGCTGTAGTGGCTGTCATCACGCTGTAGTGGCTGTCATCACGTTATCAAATAGGTCACGGAGTAGAGTAACCGATGACAATGTTAATTCCATACCACCAGTCTGCTAACGGTGGTTTGTAGGAGGTTGAACTAATATGTCAGTTCAAAGGTTCCCAAAGCTGATCGAGTCATTGCGCCCTTTCCTGCTGCATCTAGGCTTTTTCCAAGGCGCCCTATGTCAAATTTCTTGTCGATTTAAAAAAAAAAAAATTAAAAAATTAATATTTTTTTTTGTTCCTTTACTCGTTTCTGTTACTTTGATTTTAAAAACCAAACTTCTGGCAATAACAATGATGGCGGACGCTTAAATTTTCTAACTACTTGTTGAACTAA